ACTGGTGTACCCCAGGGCTCAATACTTGGGCCACTGATGTTTTTAATTTATGTTAATGACATGCCTGTTCATTCTAAACATTGTGAATTTTACATGTATGCTGATGATACAACAATGCAGAAAACTGACAAATGTACTACTGTTATTGAAACATGTTTGCGCACTGACTTTGTAAATGTGAAAAACTGGTGTAAAACAAACAAAATAAATACAGACAAAACCAAAGTTATGCTTGTAGGCAGTAAACAGAAAAAAAATTCAAAGGAATTATGTATTGAATGTACTGATTCTGGTGATCTTACGTTGGAAAATGTTAAACATGAAAAACTCCTAGGTGTGTGTATTGATGATACCCTTACTTGGAACAAGCATATCCAGTGTCACGAACGCAGGTACATCTATTTGTTATTGTGAATGGTATGTGAATTGATCACGTGTGCGTGTGTGTTTACGTGTTAAGAGGGACGGGTAGTGCATGGGCTGGACAGGTGAGACTAGTGGCCATTATTGGCAGAGCTGTTTATAATTAGTTTCCCAGCCATAATTCGTGTGTGATGAAGCCCGGATATCTGACTGGGGTAAGTATTCTTTCTATCTTACATAAATTGTTGTTTTAGTTGGATATTTCGTCCCATATTTTAATTGTCCCTATTGCGGGTCAACCAATCTATCTATCGATGCGTGTCCACTCGAGCGTAACTATGTGCTGTTATAGTATACAGGTGTGTTGATTTTAAATGCCATAATTAACAGTATTAGGTCATTAGGATTTATGTGGTATTATAGTAAAGTAATGTGTTGATATGTACAATTAATTTAGTTGCCTTTAAGCGTATATTTCGCTTAGTAACGTTATTTTGTTCGAGTAGTTTATCTATGGAAGCCCTGAGTAGTAGTTGTATTTACCTGTGCAAGGGTTGAGTGCGCGCAGGTGTAAAAAGTACGGAAGTCATTCAGTAGCCTATATGGTTGCGGTGATACGTGCGTTTTGGCATTATTATTATAAGAAAATGGCCACGCATCCTATTATTTAATATGTTTGTAGGGGGTCTATGTACAACCAGGTTTAGTATTTATAAAGGGAAGTAGAATTGCTGGTAAATTATATAGTTAAGGAATGTCTTAGTTGGATTAAAGTATGGATGTGCGTGAGTGTTTATGATATTTTGTCATGTTTATTATAGCTTCACACGACGGGCTTAAAACCAAGTTAGGCTACCCAAAGCCTGCAAAGACTACAACAGACTGGTATGCAACGGGGCCGGCCAGCATTGCAACAGCAAATACCAGGGGCACGGTCAGCTATCAGGACGTTCAGACAAGACGTCAGGCGGGCTATGTAGGCAGTGTTGATGTTGGAGATCCTGGTCTGAGAGGGACCAATGATGCTGATAGGCATATACTATTCTCTTTATTGTGTTAGCCGTGGGCTAAATTTTGTATGCATTTTGTGCGCCATCTCGAGCTGGTAAACGACGAGTCGGAACTTGTAAAGACCACTGGGTGACTGTATTTCCTCGGAGAAATGTGAAAAGACTCACAGTGTGTGAAGAGACTGTAGTATTACATTTAGAGGCATGGAAGATAGAGTGGGTGAATGCGAGTGTGTTATTGTCTATATTTAGTGTATGTAGTGTAAATAAACTTGTATATATCTGTATTCCAGTATCCCTTGTGGTTTTTTCCCGTGAGTGCCGAACTGAGGCTCGTCCCGCGTTACATCCAGGATGTCATCAAAAAGGTCAATTTCAAAATATATCAGTTATGCAGAATTTAAAAGTTCTTACCTGTTTCATCGAGAATCAAATATTTTAACTGTTTCATTCTACCTTACCTAGATTATTGTTCAAATACTTGGGGACATTGTTCTCAGACATATACTTAACAAAAAAAGAAAGGTTAACACGTTTCCTTTATCGATTGGTAAGGATTTATGAAGGGGTTAATTAATTAATCACATAATAAAGTAGTGTTACCTTTCTTTTTTTGTTTAGTATATATTAAAAAGAACTAGAGAGATTACAGAAAAGAGTTTTACGTATAATTATGGATGCTGTCCACTCTGTATCAGGGGATGAACTATTCACCAAACTCAAATGGTTACCTTTTAGCAAAAGAGTGAATTACAATGAATGTATACTAATGTTTAAAGTAGCTAACAAACTGTCCAAACTACTTGTACTGTAATGTGCTTGTATCCAGTGTACACAGTAGACAAACTAGGGTATCTACTACTGGTAACTATATCATACCTAAACACAAAACTGAAAAGTTTAGAAATTCCTTCCTATATACCGGACCAACTTTGTGGAATCAGCTTCCAGAAAATATCGGACAATGTGGAACCTTACCAACTTTTAAATTTCATTGTAAAAGATTCATCTCTGATTTACCAACCTAGATCCACATTTTTATGCCAGTCTTATTTTAGCCCTAAGATAATATGGTACCTTTATGAATGTTGCCAATTAAATGTTTTAATTATCAGTCCTGTATCCCTTACAAAACCTCGCTAATTTAGTCCTTTTATTATATTATTAGTCACTCTATAACCGTTTTATATACCTCTTCACTATGTGCCTTTATCATTACATTTGTTTTATTGATGTACATCTTAGTCTTTCATGATTATGCTAGTTTACTGTGATATTTGTGATTTTTATATCATATGTGATGCTGTAATCTTAATGTTGTATATATTGTACATTTAACTGTCGACCACTTGTTAGAAGAGTCTTGTACTCAAGTGTTATCGACTCTTAAATAAAGTCATTTATTATAATAATGATAATTATTATTATAGATAGCTCACCAAAGTCAGTGTAAAGTTCCTCACCTATTTAAAAGAAACAATGGATGCGAGAAAAAAATGTTATATCTACTGCGTTGCGCTGCCTTTGGAATAATTATATCTGATATGACATGTTGCATGTCTTTCAATCACTTATAATTATTTCATCATCAGTTATAAGCAGGGTGAAGCAATCATCATTTTATAGACAACTGGTATGCCTCGATTAAGGGAGATATCGTAATGCTTATCTTAAATGGGCGAGTGTTCAGTTTTTTTCATTATTGGTGGTAACAATTGGAAAATGCAGCTTCCCTATCAGGTATCTGTCAATAGAAAAAATAAGCGACCTTCCCTCTTTTATGCACGCAAAGACCAAGATGGTATTTTTCCGAAACGCTGAAGGTCTCACAAAATTATTCAAAATCGTATAAAAATTTCACATAAAGGTTAATAGGAGTGAAAACTATAAGCATGGTATCTTCAGAAATTGTGAAATTTAGAAGTAAAACCATTGCGGACTAGAATTTTCAAAGGAGTTCGTGTTATATCGGGGTTTTTGATCACATTTCATTGGACGAATAATTGAAATATAATTCCTCTTAATGACCTTTACCAAATTGATTCTAATTTGGCCAACCGATAGCGCCTCAGTTAAAAGCATATCATTGATCTGAAATCGACCCACGGATGTCAGGAAATATTTTATATAAATGTAGCAAAGTCGACAACTACACCAGTTTTAAGAGGTCAGATCTTGTACATTTAATCAATGCAATGGTACCAAAATGCATTTCATTTTGCGCTAGAGCAATTTTAAAGAAATAATAATTCGTTTACAATTTACGAGTACAATTTTTTTTTTTTTTTTTTTTTACATTTTCAAAACATCTTTCATAATTTCTTAAAAAGTGACAATTTTTTTGCACAGGTGGGCATATCAATGTACTGAAGTACTGCAGAAGGTAAATGGTACTATATTTTTTTCTGAGAAAAATAAATCTTCATTAAAATTTATAATGAAACCTCACTTATCCTAACTATTCTTATTACTATGACATTCTTAACAGTCCGTCACCACATAAAAGGTCATTAGGGCCATCAAATGGTAAACACACAGCGATCCAAAAGGAAATAACATTAAACAAACCAAACGCTAAAAGACCAATGTTTAAAATCTTAAATGGGTTTGTTAACACAAAAGATTAAAATGGTACGTCATATATAGACCAACATCTTTCAGGTAATGTAGCATTTTACAAATCTCAACAGTTTCAAAAAGGGATTTTAGACATGTAATGTTACGATAAAAACATTCTCGAGTAGACAGAAGGTCAATGCAGTCTAATAAAAATGATAATAAATGTAGAAATGTTTCATATTTAACTGCAATTTCGAGAAGGATGAACGAAAGGTGTAATTGTCTGTGTCTGATTTAACCATTTCATGAAGTGAAAAAGTCAACTTCAGGTGAATTCAAGAGCCAAGGTGGAATATCGTTCAAAATGACTGAATTTGGTCAATGTCAATATTCGTGTTTTGTAAGAGAGCGGAAATTCGAATACCGAATGATGGAATGGTTTTTTGTGGGTTTTGAAACAAGGTTTTATATTTTGGATCAAATTCAAGCGAAAAAGCAGGATTTGAAGGCTTTGACTAGCTGAATGGTGTATTGCAAAACCAATATATTTCGACGGATATATAGCGATGGTTCGTTAGCCTCTAGTTAGAGGCTTGCTGAAGGTGTGGTCTTAAAAGATCCGAGAGCGACCTCGTCGATAAACACAACAGACATGATCATCGGTATTAGATTCCCTGGATCTGTTCCATGTTCCCTCAAGCTCAACATCATGATCATCAATATTTTTGAGATTCAAAGCAAAGGTCGACTTTACATTTGCAAATATATTTGACAATTACAGAAAATGGATAATCATCTCTTCATGTATACTTTGAAGATGGCGAGACAGCTGTTCTCTTCAACCAATAAAATCAACTGGAACCTAACTTTATCGATAATTGTTGACGTGTGGTTTCTGTACGAAATGCAATGACAGCAAACGAGAAAAGAGAAAACGAGGTCAGCAACCATAGGAGAGGCGGAGACAATTTCTTATCTAGATGATTGGTTTTTTTTTTTTTTTTTTTGTTTGTTTTTGTTTTTACTTTTTACTCGTGTGTATTGGAATCTTCTACCAAGTGCTGTTACCTTAAACGCTTCTTCAAATACTGTACTTGAAAACAGTTTGGACACATCTTTGCATCGCATCCCCAGAAATAGTTGTACAATGCCTTCGACATCAAATAACGGCTTCATCAATTCTTGAAAACGCCAATCATATTTTGCATTACCTAGAGTATGTTTGAATTTGAACGCGGCTTTACAGTTAAAACCAAAGCATTTGTTTCCGTTGTAAAGTTAAGCTGGAGATAATTCAATATTGTATGTTGCTGTAGGCACGCTTCTGTATTTCTATCATTACCAGCAATGTTTTGTATTCGTCAGGGGTTCGACATTACATCGTCAGTTTTCTCAGTGCATAAATGTTTCATGCTTAATCATGTAAGTGAACTTCAAAGCAATATTGTATATAAGCAGACCAAATCTTATTCCAGTGCACGTTATATTCAGGAACAGTACTACGTATACATTAAAAACTAGGATTCAATGAAATAAATTAGGCCTTGAAATGTATTATTTTGTTCTGTTAAAGTCTTTGCCGAAAGTTCAGCTACACGTATAGTACATCAATATAATTTCAACCGTTTGACGGGTTGGAGGGTGAAATTATTTTCTCTTCGGTATGAGTCGCCAATAGAGGGCGCTATGTATATGATTTGCACGTGAAAATTAAGACCAGGGTCGTACTGTCGCGTGTTAACTGTACGTGCCATTCAAGCGGCACAGGTAGGGACACAGGGACGTGGAAATTTTTATTTCGTGCATTGAGAAATGGAAATGGAAAACGAAGTGTGACATTAAATCATATCCTAAAACAGCTCAAGGAGCAAAAGAATGAATTTAGGGAATACGTTGCTTTAAGACTGTCGAATGTAGAGTCTAGTAAAGATGTTTCCAAGGAAATAAAAAAAGTTAAAGGACCAGAAAGCCATTGTATGGAGACGTGACGGCAACAAACAGCAATATGCCTTTAATACTGACGTTTTGAAAGATTTGAATTAAGTTATGCGGGCTTTATCGGTCGGGAAATTGGATTATTGTGAGGAGTTAGTCACTCAAGCTGTTGGGAAATTAAATAGACGGAACAAAATAATCAAAATTGCGGATTCGTCTGACGCTGGTTGGGACACTGTCAAGGAATATGTAGCCAATACATTGGCTAGTAATTCGGATGATGACCGGAAGATTGCACGTGCGGAAGGAAAAGCGGTGAAACGATTAAAGGAGAGACAGAAAAAAGAAAAAAAAGATGTATTTTACAGCAAGCAGCGTAAAAGGTACGGATATACTGGTCCAAGTTATGCAGCGGGTTCGGCGAGTCAGGTTTATGGAGCTGGTGGTGCTAATGTCCGGTTTGGGGATGGTAATGGTAACCAGCTTTTTCGGGGCCAGCAACGCACTTCATATGGGGCCTGTTTCGCGTGTGGAGACTTCAACCACTTCCGGAGGGACTGTACAAAGACCAACAGTAAAGGCGGAAGGACCCCAGTGATAATGTGAATACGAAGGAGGAGCAGGTCATACAAGTATAATATTTATTGTGACAATGTATTAACAGAAGACTATTTTGAATATGAACAAGGTCAAGCTGACATTTTTGTGAGGGGTCGATTAAAAGAGAATATAGGGTTTTGACATGCCTAATAATAAATCGGCGTTAAAAAACGGGGAATGGGTGGAAAAAGCTATTTTGGAGAATAAAAAGTTAATTGAGAGGTGTGATAGTCCAGTTTTAGTGACAAATCCTTTAAATCTGTTTATTCAAAATAACGGTAACAAACGGTTGATTTTGGATCTAAGGGAAGTTAATATGCGTTTATGGAAGCAGTCTGTAAGATACGATGACTTGCGTACAGCTTTGATGTATATAGAAAATAAGGGGAGGTTAATCAAATTCGATATCCATTCCGCATATCCTCATGTAGATGTGTACCCTCCCCGTACCCAATATCTTGGTTTCGCTTGGATAATACAGTCAGCTAAAGTGTATTTTCGATTTTTAGTGTTACCGTTTGTTTGTCGACAGCACCGTATTGCTTTACGCAATTGACCAGACCTTTAGTAGCTACGTGGAGATGTGAGGGGTTACAGATCCTTATGTATCTAGATGACGGTTTGTGTCAATGTTGACAAGTCTGATCTTGTAGTACAAAGTGCAAAGGTCAAGGGTGATATTATCGCTTCCGAGTTTGTACCGAAGGCAGATAAATCCATGTGGGATCCTGTACAGCATATGATTTTTATAGGGGTAGATATCGATACTTTGTTGGGTATCTTGAGAATACCTGATCATCGGATTACGAAAACAAACGATTGTGCATTAGATAGCTTGAAGTATGTGTATAGTGGAAGAGCAGTCCATGTAAGGGCGCTGGCTAGGTTTGTAGGGCAGATTATATAGATGAGTATTGTCCTAGGGAACATCACACAACTAATGACCAGACCCCACTTGTATATAATATCTCAATTTCAGATTTCCTCAAGCCCAGATTTTCGTCAGCTAATATCTCCTTGAAAATATCTTGTATGAAAATCCCTCAAGGAATTTCAGGACATCCTAGCCGATGACTTCCTCCTGTTCCTTAAGAAAACTTTATACAAGCCGTGTTTGAGGAGATATCAGCTGAGGAAAATCTCGACTTGAGGAAATCTCAAGTTGAGATGTTTTTTTACAAGAGGGGCCAGATGTATCAGTATGTGTAAGTTGAAAGCTAAATCCTGGGATGATAGAGTTAGATTGAGTGATAGTTGTGTATCGCAGATACAATTTTGGTTAAATCATACGAGTTGTATAAATTCCAGAGGGTTGCGGTATTCCCCGCAATGTAATAGAATCGTCTATTCAGATGCTAGTAGGACAGGTTACGGTTGGTATTGTGTAGACTCAAAGGTGGGTGTGTCACACGGGATGTGGACTCAATCCGAGGCAGGTCAGAGTTCAACTTTCAGGGAACTGACAGCTGTGTATAGGGTTTTGTTGTCATTAATACACGTGTTACGTGGTACTAGAGTTAAATGGTTTTCCGACAACCAAGCTGTGGTTAAGATCTTGGAAAAGGGCAGTATGAAGCCTTCTTTGCAAGCTTTAGTATTAGATATTTATAAGTTGATGACACAGAATCATATCTCGTTGGAATGGAATGGGGACCTAGAGAGCAGGATGTTTGTGCTGATTTTATCATTAAAATAGTCGATTTTGACGATTGGGGTGTAGCTGAATATATTATTCAGCAATTAAACGAAAGGTGTGGTCCGTTTGAGGTTGATTGGTTTGCTTCCTGGCATAACGCAAAGATCAATATATTTTATTCCAAGTTTTGGAATCCCGAATCTGCGGGTATAGACGCTTTTACGGCGGACTGGTTGGAAGTAAACGGGTTGTTTGTCCCACCTGTGTATCTTATATATAGGGTCCTCAGGTACATGGAGATGTGTAAAGCGTATGGGACGCTGGTTGTTCCGTTTTGGAAGTCCGGCCGTTTTTGACCATGTATGTGTCCAGATGGAGAACATTTTGTAGCGAGTGTTAAGGAATATAGTTTTGTGCAAACAGAGAAGTGTTTTTATACACCCTCCATGTCCGGGAAAGGCATATTTGGCCATATGGATCTTAATTTTCAAATGATTGCTTTACGTATGGACTTTCGATAAATTATCGTAGTAATTTAAAGTAAGTGGCTTACTGTACACATGTGTGTATAGACTTTTGTTCCATTCGATATGGTCGATAAGTTCTCAGCAGTTCTTGCTTTTGATACCGAATTTCGGGGTAAATTTAGAAAGAAGTGTTTGTCAGTGTTTTTTTTTTCTGTCAAAGTTGATAGTTTTTATTGTTAATTTCTTATAGTATATCTGCACAGAAATGTGTGATTTTGTATACACGCTTATATACATGTATACGTTGTTTAAAATATAGTAGTATATATATGCACTTTATATATATACATGAACATATTATTATACATGAAGTTGTTTATACATAAACAGATTTTGGTATATTATTTTGGGTGTACTTGTTTCTTACATTTAGTTACACACGTACTGAGGGAGGAATAGGAGTTGGTCCCTGATCATCTTAAAGAGTATGTCATGGCGGTGCCTCAATTATTACAAGGATGTAAAGCAGACAGTACGGTCAGGAAATACTGTTATGGATTCTTGCGTTGGAGGAAGTGGGCCACGGAAAATGGTTTTGGAGACGGACATATTTTCCCCGTGAGTCCGTTCCATTTATGTGTTTATATATCGTTTTTGGTGAAAAATAACGGCGATGTTGGATCCGTCACAGATGTTATGTATGGGATATAGTGGGCACATGACATTGTTGGAATGGCTTCACCTACAGTTCCACAGTTAGTGAAAAATGTGTTTGAAGGTGCTAGAAGGTTATTATCTAAACCTGTAAAAAAGAAGCAACCGATGACTGTGTCAATTTTGAATGATGTATACAGTAATGTTTACGATAAGAATAATTTGTACATTCAAAGAATTCTCACTATGAATTTATTTACATATGCGGGATTTATGAGAAGCGCAGAGGTACGCGTGTTAAAAAGGACCGATATTCGGATACGAACAACATATCTAGAGATATTTGTCGAGCAGTCCAAAACGGATGTATATAGGCATGAATCCTGGATTCTGTTGAATAGGACGGACACTCACTAAACTAAATTCCGATAAATATGTGTTACGGAAAGTCAACAGGCCCATGTCTTATTCCAGATTCAGGGAGCATTTTATCGAAGTATTTTCACCTTTTGTACCAGGCATTAGTAAATTCGGGTTACACGGCTTACGTGCGGGAGGTGCATCGGCGGCAGCAAACGGTGGAATTCCGGACAGACTTTTTAAACGCCATGGCCATTGGAGATCTGAATCAGCTAAGGATGGTTACATTAAAGATAATTTTGATGATAGGTTGAATGTGTCAAAGCATCTGAATTTGTAAATAACTTATTGTTTTTCGTAGAGTTAATTTACCCGTATTTTAGGTTCATTGAGAAATAATTTTAATTTTTTGTTGTTTACTGGTGTGTAAACTGCATTTTTTTTACAGATATTTTAACATGACGCGCTAACGCTCGTCATTGAAAATATCTGTAAAAAATGCAGTCGTTGAAAATGTCTGTAAA